AGGCCCGCATAACGCAAGAAAAAAAAAAAAAACAAAACAGAAATATAGATCAATGGAACAAGATAGAAAGCCCAAAGATAAACCCACACACATATGGTCACCTTATTTTTGATAAAGCAGGCAAAAATATATGATGGAGAAAAGACAGCCTTTTCAATAAGTGGTGCTGGGAAAGCTGGACAGCTACATGTAAAAGAATGAAATTAGAACACTCCCTAACACCATACATAAAAATAAACTCAAACTGGATTAAAGATCTAAATGTAAGGCCAGACACTATAAAACTCATAGAGGAAAACATAAGCAGAACACTCTGTGACATAAATCACAGCAAGATCCTTTTTGACCCACCCCCTAGAGAAATGGAAATAAAAACAAAAATAAACAAATGGGACCTAATGAAACTTCAAAACTTTTGCACAGCAAAGGAAACCATAAACAAGACGAAAAGACAACCCTCAGAATGGGAGAAAATATTTGCAAATGAAGCAACTGACAAAGGATTAATCTCCAAAATATACAAGCAGCTCATGCAGCTCAATATCAAAAAAGCAAACAACCCAATCCAAAAGTGGGCAGAAGACCTAAATAGACATTTCTCCAAAGATATACAGATTGCCAACATACACATGAAAGGATGCTCAACATCATGAATCATTAGAGAAATGCAAATCAAAACTACAATGAGGTTATCACCTCACACTGGTCAGAAGGGCCATCATCAAAAAGTCTACAAACAATAAATGCTGGAGAAGGTGTGGAAAAAAGGGAACCCTCTTGCACTGTTGGTGGGAATGTAAATTGATACAGCCACTAGGGAGAACAGTATGGAGGTTCCTTAAAAAGCTAAAAACAGAACTACCATACGACCAGCAATACCACTACTGGGCATATACCCTGAGAAAACCATAATTCAAAAAGTCATATACCACAATGTTCACTGCAGCACTATTTACAATAGCCAGGACATGGAAGCAACCTAAGCGTCCATCGATAGATGAATGGATAAAGAAGATGTGGCACATATATACAATGGAATGTTACTCAGCCATAAAAGAAATGAAATTGAGTTATTCGTAGTGAGGTGGATGGACCTAGAGTCTGTCATACAGAGTGGAGTAAGTCAGAAAGAGAAAAACAAATACTGTATGCTAATACATATATATGGAATCTAAGAAAAAAAAAAAGGTCATGAAGTACCTAGGGGTAAGACAGGAATAAAGACACAGACCTACTAGAGCATGGACTTGAGGATATGGGGAAGGGGAAGGGTAAGCTGTGACAAAGTGAGAGAGTGTCATGGACATATATACACTACCAAACGTAAAATAGATAGCTAGTGGGAAGCAGCCGCATAGCACAGGGAGATCAGCTCGGTGCTTTGTGACCACCTAGAGGGGTGGGATAGGGAAGGTGGGAGGGAGACACCAGAGGGAGGGGATATGGAGATATATGTATACATATTGCTGATTCACTTTGTTATACAGCAGAAGCTAATGCACCAATGTAGAGCAATTATACTCCAATAAAAACGTTGAAGGAAAAAAAGTATAATTTTTGTAAAACAAAATCAAATATAACAAACTCTGATAAACACTATGTACATAGTCTATCCAGGGAAACAACTATGATAACTTGTAAGTTTCATTAGGTCCCATTTGTTTATTTTTGGTTTTATTTCCATCTTTCTAGGAGATGGGTCAACAAGGATCTTGCTGTGATTTATGTCATAGAGTGTTCTGCCTATGTTTTCCTCTAAGAGTTTTATAGTGTCTGGCCTTACATTTAGGTCTTTAATCCAGTTTGAGTTTATTTTTATGTATGGTGTTAGGGAGTGTTCTAATTTCTTTCTTTTACATGTAGCTGTCCAGTTTTCCCTGGACATCACCCCAAGCCAATAATAGCCAAGATAACCTGGAAAAGATCATAGTTTGGAAGAGAAGAAAAAGATTAAGTAATTTACTCAAGGTCGAGGGACAATAAAGTGGTGGAGGCAAGATTCACATAGTCTGACTCCACAAGCCACACTCTTACTCACTACTGACAATCACGAAAGGCATGGGGCCAGTTACAGACTGCATGAGACAACAGGAGGAAAAACAACCAGCCCCTACACTCATGGACGGCTGGTGGAAAGTCAACTGACACAGCCTCTCCAGAAAACTGCCTGGCATTTTCTAAGAAAGCTGAAAACATCCACATCCTATAACTCAGCAATCCTTCCCCTATTTATATACTCTTGAGAAACTCAGGCACATGTATAAGGCATGTGCAAAAGGTTGATAGTGTATCCTTTTTACAAGCAAAAACTGGAAAGAGGGGCTTCCCTGGTGGCGCAGTGGTTGAGAGTCTGCCTGCCGATGCAGGGGACACGGGTTCGTGCCCTGGTCCGGGAGGATCCCACATGCTGCGGAGCGCCTGGTCCCCTGAGCCATGGCCGCTGAGCCATACAGTTTTAAGGTCATAAAACTGTATCTAAAAGCAAGGGAATTATTACCTTAAAGTCTGGATTATGGTTACCTCCAGAGGGAAGGGGCCCTTCTGTGAGCAGTGCTGTATTTCCTAACCTGGGTCTCAATATTACATTGTAAATTTCTGTTTTATGCATTTTTTTCCTCGATTATTTTATAACTTTTTAAAAAATCACTCATTTTTGGCTCAAGGAAGTTCCTTAATTCTAGTCCAGAGGCCTTCTCTAGTGGCCAGATAGCTGGACTGTAAGTACATTAGCATACATATATAAGTTTATCTCCCAATCTACAACCAAATTTTTACAAAAGCTATTAACAGAAATTCAAGTAATAAATTTATCAGCCAGATAAATTCCCCTCTGCTTTTTTAAATCAGAGAAATGGTCTATATCGTAAAACCTGCAACATCTACTACTCTGTGTGATATGTAACATTGATAAACCCATAGTCAGTCTGTATAAAGCTGTGCATTGCCCAGCCTGACAGTAGCGGGCCTGATGGCAGTGGCACTACAACACAAAAGCCTTTGATTTCAGACTAACTACCAGTATCCAAAGGATAACTCCTAGGTAGTGACTGGGGAACATGTGACACTCACCACAACAGGGAAAAACCCAGCAAGAACAGGGTAAAGGAAGATGAGATCCATTTCAGCCACACTGAATTTGAGTGCCTTGTCCAATGAAGAGTTGGAAGCAAGAGCCTGGAGCTCAGAAGAGAGGTGCAGCCTGGACCAGACCTCTGGATGTCATCAGCCCAAAAGTGGTTGGTGAGGTAAAGAATGGGTCCCAAGAAAATGCCTGAGATGCAAACTATCATTTGTTTTTTTTTTTTTTGCATGCCAGTTCATATACTACGGTTAACTTTGGCAGTAGGCCAGAGCATATTTCTAACTGCACAAAGTAGGAGTTGTATACTATCAGCTCTGCTCCTTAGATTGAGTTCCAGGTAAATATAAAATAGCACATTACATCTGATAAAGCTTAAAAGCAAGTAACCTTACTATTTGTAGGTAGGTTCAATTGCCTGCAGCTAGATAAAAAGTGCTTCTCAAGGATAAAAAATCATTTAGAGCCATCCAACAGTAATGCAAACTCCTGGAGAGAAAGGCTTACTGATTAAGCATATGTCAAGTTAGCACAAAGTTATGCAGTCAGAATGAGGTATTAAAAGGTACTTTGGAGACATTTGGGTTGTAAGAATTTTTGTTGATATTGTAGCTGGTTGCAGAAGTTTGTAAAAAACAAAGAGAATGAATTATTATTAGGCAAAGGGTCCTACTTGTGCTTAACAGAACAAGGGAGTCTAATAGTTCCAAAGGACCCTTAAACCTAAGATTTTAAGCAGAGTCCAAGTAAGTCTATAAATGGGCAAATCTGCTCACAAATTGCCAGAAGGCAAGATCAATAAAACTATGATTTACAAATTATACTTACCTGGAAGACTGGTTATAAATATTCCTAATCCTTATTAAAAAGAGAGTTTTATACTAGCCAGCTATCATTTCCCTTTAACTCTCAAACTTTCCTCTAAACTAGATATGACAATCCCATAATCATTTGTGTTTAACTTCAAATCCCTAGAGGAAATTTGTAAAACCCTTTGTTATCCATGCATGTGTTGACTTTTATTCTGCTATCTGTACACTGTCCACATGCATGCCTGTCACTGGGTCTATCTTCAACCCTAAACTGCCAGAGCCCATGGACAGAAACTATCTGGATCCCTCCATAGCACAGAGTGCCAAGTAGCCACCTGAGAAAATTATAACTAGTAATTTAACATATAAAATTAGGAGGAAAATGTTTTTCTAGTATAATTACTTGAGGACACAACCCATCAGATAGCCTCATTATAAACCATACATGATTACTCACATTTAAAGATTCCTTGGGGCTTCCCCGGTGGCGCAGTGGTTGAGAGTCTGCCTGCCGATGCAGGGGACACAGGTTCGTGCCCTGGTCCGGGAGGATCCCACATGCCGCGGAGCGGCTGGGCCCGTGAGCCATGGCCGCTGAGCCTGCGCGCCCGGAGCCTGTGCTTCGCAACGGGAGAGGCTACGACAGTGAGAGGCCCGCGTACCGCAAAAAAAAAAAAAAAACAAAAAAAAAAAAAAAAAAAAAAAAAAAAAAAAAAGATTCCTTGAACATCATTCGTTCTTCTTAAAAAAAATTTTTATTTACTTATTTATTTATTTTTAGCTGTGTTGGATCTTCGTTGCTGTGCGCAGGCTTTCTCTAGTGGTGGCGAGCGGGGGCTACTCTTCATTGTGGTGCACGGGCTTTTCATTGCGGTGGCTTCTCTTGTTGCAGAGCACAGGCTCTAGGTGCACAGGCTCAGTAGTTGTGGTTCGTGGGCTCTAGAGCGCAGGCTCAACAGCTGTGGCTCACGGGCTTAGTTGCTCCGCAGCATGTGGGATCTTCGCGGACCAGGGTTTAAACCTGTGTCCCCTGCACCGGCAGGCGGATTCTTAACCACTGCACACCAGGGAAGTCCCTATCATTCATTCTTCACCTACAAAGTACTTACCACAAGTCCAATGAAAACGTTCCCCTTTTTTTTGTCTTTAACATTTTCCTTATTTTCACAGATACACAGAAGATAGCTGGTAGAAGTATCAGTCATTATCTCATCAACATTAACAGCATCATCCAGCTTGACTAAAGGATTTACATGTGATAATCATTAAAGAAAAATAAATGCTACATTCCCATTAGCTTTTCTCCCTTAAAATAATGGTTCATTTTCCTGGACATTTTTGCTTTATGCAAAACTCTTCCATACAGCATTTATTCTTCTGATTTATTCTGATCATAATTACATGACTGATCTTCCCTAAGATATAAGACTCACGAGAACAGACAACTATTATCCTTTCACTTCCAAATGGCCTGTGATATGCCTCAGATCCTGTGGAAGCACCAATTTTTAACCCTCTGCTTCACTTGGATAATGCTGAGCCTTGACTCCTTAACAATCTCATGATGTTTAATTCCACAAGTCAAAGCATGGATACACTAAAACAGTGTAAATTACTTTCCTCCACTGAAGTAGCTAACAGCTCTCAGACATAGCAAGAGAATTTTTAAAAGATATGAGAAAAGAAAACCAAAAAAGAAAACAGAAACATACATACATGTGCGTGCGTGTGTGCGTGTGTGTGTGTGTGTGTGTGTGTGCAGTAAGTCCATTACATAAATTCTCAGGGATGAAAGCTGATTTTGGACAAAGTCAGTCTGGGAACATCCACTTTGGGCATCAGCAGATAAGAGCTACAGCAGCAGCAAAAGAGAAGCACGGAGGGGTGCTGTTTTAGAAGCAGGCTTTGAAAAAGAGACTCAAGCTCAGGCAAAAGAAACGATAAAACTGCAAAGTTCTTACAGCCTGATCAGCTTAGAACAACACAGAGCTGTTAATGGTCTGGGGTCCACTCTGAGTGATAACCGTTCCGTATTCACGGTATTAATGGAATAAAACAGCCTTCAGAATTTGGGTAGAAGCTAAGCAGTTCTCTAAATAAGCACATCTGTAATAAACCATAACAGCAATACCTTCACACAGTATCATTTAAGACCTTATCCCTACATTCTTTTATTCTGAGAGATCTGACCCCGTTCCACAGTAAACAAAATGCTTCCTTATCATATTTGATATATAATTATTTGGTTTTTAAATAATTGATAGAATTTTATGACTTTGCTGTTAAAATCATTTTGCTTCGAGTAACTCATTGAATTTATCAATGACCATAAACTGGGGGGCAATCATTATATATACTGAGGGTTCTTGCAAGTGAGAAAGCTTACAATCCACTTTGAAAAGTAATAAAATTCTTATGATGCTAACAATTAATGAAGATGACCTACTATTATGTTTTATAAGCAGTTAACTGTGTGTTAACTTGGTAGTTTTCTTTTCACATTTTGAAGTAAATAAGTTATTTTTTAGGTCTCATCTTAGGAAGATCTACAAGAGCTTGTAAGCCCTAAACACCTAACCACTGCCCACAAAGGCCTAGGAAAAATGCAATTTCACATCAGTTGCTAACTTGCTATCATCTTTTATCAGGCTCTCTTTCTTCTTGCTCTTAAAATACAGTGAACTCTCCTTTTACTACGGCATTTGAAAAATGCTTCTTTCCAGCCAATATCAACTCTTCTCTCTTCGGTACCTTACTAATCACAGGTCAAGGTAACCATACTGCCTCATCTCATCAAAAAGGTACCCAATCAAAGAACAGTTTTAAAAAATGCTATTTAAAACAAAGCCCTTGTAACATTTAAGAAAAACAATTCCTATTTGAAAAGGATATCTTCTCCAATAAGTGTAGATTTTGTATAAAGAGCGGTCAATTTCCGGGAAAAGAGTGAACTTTTGTTGTCCCCAATGGCTTTTAACGCAGCTGTTTCAGTTTGTTTCACAACTCCCACCTTCAACAAAAGTAAGAAATACTGCATATCAAATATGATGGAAAATTTGTTAACAAAACATTAATTCTAGACTTTGAAAGGTTAATTCTGAAACATTTAAAATAAACAATTAGTCCACAATGTCCAGAGGTAGGGCTTAAGTAATAAGTACCACAAGGACCTTGCAAGTGTGGATAAATCACTGTGAAACACTCCAAAACAGAGTCGAAAAAACTTTTTACCCTAAATATCTAATATGTTAAAAACTCATGGAGCTATACTGCCAATAATTATGACAAATTTTAATTTCTCCAAAATACCAAATTCCAAAACCAGTTATAGCCTACCATCTTAGAAAACATTTCCCTCTCTGGAAGAGACTCTAATCCCCTTTTCCCACAAGTTGAAGCCAAACCTTATATCCCTTGGCCACAAGGCGGCGTACGTGAACAAACAGCCGGTGAGTAGGTATGCTTGCTGTCATAAAGTTGTGATCTAAATGGCAATAGATATTGAGCTCCCGGGCTGCAATCTAAAAAAATTTAAGAAGAAAATATCAATAAATTTCTACTTCTAGATTCCCTGTGCCGTGTTTGTTCACTTTGTTAAAAATCCATCAAGGTATACATTTAGGATTTGTGCACTTCTCTGTGCGGTATGTCAATAAAAAGTTTAAAAGACATTCGCTGTGTAGAGCCTATGGTTTTATCTTTTTTTTAACAGTGTCCATGGCCTAACCTCAAAGCCAACATCTATATTTATAAGCAACTCAGAAAAATGACAGGTTTTCTTTCATGTCCTTAGATCTATCAAACCCTTAAAAGTGCTGAGCTTTCCCTGCACAACACAGAGACCACGAGACTGAAATAGAATAAGAATCTGCTACTTAGCACATGCAAATAACTGAAAATTAGGAGATACCATGGAGTACATATGTACATGATGAACCTCCTTGGACAGAGGGCATCTTTGAGGAAGTGAGAAGAGAACCCCCTGGTCTGGTTAGCTACTTAATGATGCATGAATGATAGGAATGCAGAATCAGGCAGCACCACCTGATTCCCTACGTTTTTCTACAAAGTCCCAGGACTTAGATATTGCCCACTGGAGCCACGGAATTGGAGTCATTCCTCCACTCTCACTCCCCTATACCACCCGTCTCTGAACTGTATTAGTTCATCACTGCAGGGCAAGAAGACATCAGTCTTTACTGTGGTCAAGGTTGAATTTAGCACTCAACCTAGAGAGAAGGGCAGAGAACAGCACTTCCTTTCACCCCTTCATCTATAAGAGGCCAACCACATGGTTCCTGTCCTCAGGAAACACGCGGATGCTGTTTCAAAGTCTAATTTCATGACACAGAAGAGAGTATCATGCCATCTGAACTAGAGAACACCACTTTCCTGCCACAGGACTTAGGACACTAGAAGAACAAAAGTTGGCCAGGTCTCCACTCCCCATTCATGAGGTGGCAGACGAGCCACCTCATCACTCTCTGAAGATGTACTATCCAACCAGGCCTGAAACTAAGGGATCACCACAATCATTCATGACTTCAACAGCACCACCAGCAATACCAAGCCTAAGCTTGCCCCTAAATGCTCAAATTTACTTTTAACCTTCTTAACTTAGGCCTACATCAAACACCCCAAATTAAATACAAACCCAACTTAGACTAAGACAGCAAGACAGCTGACATACAGAGACCTGTAAGACTTCACACACTTGTTGGTGGCTGGCAGAGTTAATGTGCTCTTCCACTGAGATTTAACTATGTTCCTGGCTATGAAACTTCATAAGTTAAGGGTAAAAAGAGGAATTTCTGTACATCTCAAGTTTCTTTTTCTTGCTTGAGTCTTCATTAGGAATACTCACATGATTATGGTTCATTCACAATTGACTTTCGATGGATGGAAGGTACTGGGCCAGCACCATGGAGAATAAGCAGGAACATTCCAATAGGGACCCCTCACTTCCTTCCCCACAAATCTAGCATCCACCAAGTTTGCTTGTGTCTATTTTTAGTTTTTACTTTAAATGAAAGTATTTTTGAAGGTAATTGATCACATTAGCTTCTCCATAAAGTCAGAAAATGAAATAAAAACACTGGAAAATATTTAAGGCTGGACAAAAAAACAGTGTCTGAGAAAACAACTTACCTCTGCATCTTCCCCAAAGAATCTATACTTATATCCACATTCCACACACAAAATTGCATCTTTCTGCTGCTGCTTCATTTCTATGTATTGTAATTCTAAGGGGGTGTAGATGCTTTTGGTCCGTTTGTTAGATGGTTTAGAATCAGAAGTCTTCTGTAAGTTTTCATAACTGCTATGTGATGATCCAAAATGACTGAGTGTCTTGTCCTGGCAACCAAAAGATTTTTATAGTTTAAAAAGTATTAACTGTAATAATAGTTCCAGAACATAAATTTGGCACAAAGCTAATAATTGGTGAATGCAAGTGAAAAGTTTACAAGAGTGTATCATATATTAGGCATATTTTCTTGCAGGTTTGGAATTTTTTCAAAGTAAATGACTTAAAAAAGTGAGCCAAAGTAAACTACTGTATAATTATTTGAGCAAATTTTGAAAGCCTAAACTAAAAAAGCTTTCTATACTTCTCTTTAAACTGGATTTCATTAAACCAATTATAATTAACCATTTTCTTTTCTTTATGCCCAGATATATAAGGCACAAAAAGTCATCAGGCATCGATCTGTCTCCCTCAGCGGTAAGGCAAAACCACTTTCAACAAGCATGCCAGCAGCTAAAGCTGCACTTAACGTTTAAATTTCCAAGTACAGTCTAAAAGATAGTATATTACATAATCTTTATTCCAAGAAAGAATCACCATTTGTTTGGTAAAGAGAGATGAGAAACAGCTTTTGGAAAGCATAAAGCACAAGGTTACATTTTCAACATTAGTATTCCTGATATCCACCTGTTTATATGAAAACCATAATTAAATCCAGTTCACAGCTTAGAGCAAATTCCTTGCTTCTGAGACTTATGAAGGTAAAATGAAACAAATCTGTACAATTGATGACATAAAAATTCATATTTTAAGGCAAGGCAAGAAAAATCTAAACATAAAATTTTTCTCTCCCCATTTTGTCCCCCTCCCTCCCCTTCAGTGTGCATTGTGCATCTATCTGCCTTATGCTTAGGTTTAGCAGAAATACCTGCTCAACCATTAAGATCAATTTTCCTCCTTCTGGTACCAGCTTTATAACTCCTTGGAAGCTAACATTTCTTTCTCAATCCTTTAAGGGGTCACGATGACCCACCACTCGCCTCGTACACACAGACATCTATGGTGAACTTTATATACAATGCCAACATACCATTTCCCTTAAAGATAGCCATTGGTGCATAACATACCGGTCAGACGACCTGGGGAGACAATGGGCACCTAATGGAAGTCTTCTTAGCTTAAATACTTACTTATGACCTTATTAACGTTACTAGCTATATTACTTATATTCTGCCTATTTTATAATATAATTGTTTCTTGCATTACCAAATGTATGACTGAGCCTCCAATAAAATTAATAATGATTAGGCGACTTAAAACAATTGACAAAATATACAGTTCTATATGATCAGTGATTTTAATAGTGTAACTCTAGATATGGGAAGAAGCAACAAGAGAGAATCTTTTTCTAGACCGTAACAGACTATAAGACAGGTGGTTCAGAGGCTTTCGGCTACTGTTAACAGGGCCTAGTCCAGTAACAGCACAGTGAGTGGCCTATCAACAAAATCCTTGCCTGACCTGAGAATGAGTATTCCTAGCGCCACAGGACAAATTGATCACAAAATGCCTCCCAAACCTTGGTTGAAATTAAGACCGAAAGGGAACCGACTATAAAATAAAGACTGTTTGCCCATCAACCAATTCTACAAGAATGAAGTCATTAGCTACTGTGGTTGCTGACCTATATTACACCCTGAAAGGAATTCAGGAAGAAGCTCAGGATGAGGCACTTTGTGAAACTTGCCCTCAGATAGTTAGATATTTTCAGGAGAAGTTTTTTTATAAACCTAGATTCTTGCATCATCCCATACTTAGAAAAGCACTAAAATCATTAACTAAGATGTCTGTTCCTTGTGACTAGCAGCAACCTTCTACCGAGATGTGTGCTTGAGTGCACATACCCCCTTTATCAAAATCACATATATGCTGGCCTCCCCCCCTTTTACTTCTTTGGAACAGTTCTCAGAGCTCTCTGAGAGACTATCTTCTGGGTTATAATCCTCAGGCTGGCTCAAATAAAATTTTTCACTTCTTTCTTAGATTGACTATTAATTATTTTTGTCAAAAGGATAAATCCAGCATCTAATTAACTGTCACTGGGTCACTGCCAACATCTAAAAACTTACCAGCTACCCCTGAAATTAAAACTATGGCCTAAAAAACTAGTGACCAGCAGAGGCAGAGAAGAGAGAAAGAGAAATGTCTTATATGGCCCAGGGAGGGGACTGCAGTCCAAGGAAAGCCCAGAAAGACGTTCTTTACAGTTGCAGTTGCTAAAGGTTTAAAAAATTCAGCTTAGCTGGAATAGCAGGTAGAGACACAGTTTATCTGAATAGCAAAGCCAAGCAAACCTCCAAAGATCAGCAATGAGATCTGGTAAGGTATGGACAGGCATGGCAGGAGAAAAGTGGGTCAATATACCAGGTTGGAGAATGCATTTGCTTTTAATTATGATGGATTTTCTACTTCGTTTCCATGACGGTTATCTAAAATTCAAGAAAACCACATATTGCAAAACTTAATGAATACTTAAAAAATATATATTTTCTGGAAAAAGAAAAGTTCTTACTTTATACCTTATTCATATAGGGAATGAAAGTAGGAATCCAGCAAATAGTTTTAAGCATAGGGGATACGAATAAACAAGTCAATCTGAATACTTGAGTATTAAGCAACTTTTTTCCCCCACCATTTGGGTGAAAATATTTCTCAGATATACTCTTTTTCATATTCCCAGAGACAGCATTCTGAACTCAATTTAACTTTGTCTTGACAATTGAGGATGACTAGAATAATAAAATGGGAATTTCAGGACCTATTTCTAGGTGTCCCGTCTAACTGGTTACTTCTAATGTGCTGTGCATCAGAAATGCCAAGTTGGTCATTTTATATATAAACTAACAGTAAATCTCATGAGACCCCAGGATAAATTCTCCAATTACTAAAGTGAACATACACAAACTTTTTGACCTCTATACTTTATGACCACTACACTCAGGTGAACTGCTTCTAAGTACTAAAAAAAGATTAAAAATAAAAACAAAGCAACTTTTTTTCTGATGATGTAAAATAAGTCAATGGATCTTATGGCCTGGCTGAAGGAGGAGTTCATGAATTTGGACTTTGTGGGAAGGAGTGTGAACTTCTGAAAATTAGATACAAAATTGTGTTGGTCTAAGTATTTTTCTGAGTAATGAATCCATAGTTTTCATTAGATTTAAATGAATCATAAAAAAAAGTAAAGAACTAGTTCTCTAATTCCATGGTTTTCGATCATGGCTACACATGAAAATGAGAGCTTTTAAACGATATCCATGCCCAGTTTTTCATGAAAACTAACTAAACATGATTCTGAAGAAGGGCTCTTACTATCGGTATTTTTTTTTAATTGACGTATAGTTGACATACAATATTATGTTAGCTTCAGGTGTACAACATAGTGATCTGATAGTCAAAAACATTATGAAGTGATCATAAGTCCAGGAACTAACTGTCACCATACAAAATTATGACAGTAAGGTGATTCTAATTTAAAGCTGGGCTGAGAACCACTAATTCTGAATTATAGATTTCAGTGATGGATCAAGAGTTAAATTCCCTGATTTTGCAATGGTGAAAAATACTAATAATCACAAAACAGTGGAAGAAGTAAGGAAGCCATATACATTTGGTTAAACTCTGAATTTATTATATCAGCCAAGCTTTCAACTAAAAACCTCAAAACATCTCTATAAATTATTCACTGTGATTTTCCAGACTAATCATGGAAACTATAAGGAGGACTATAAGAAACTGTGCCTGTATTAATTATTAATAAAGAATCCCCCCAAGTCAGCGGCTCCTAATCCAGGCTGTACATCAGAATCTGCTGGGAGGTTTTCTTGGTTTTGTGTAGTTTTAATAAAACCAATTCATCCTGCCTTAATACATAGTAAATCACAATCTCCAAGAATTTAAAAAAAAAAAACAAAAACTAAAAAGCAAAAGCTCCCTCAGCTCATTTGGATGATCAGCCAAGTTTGGGAACCAGTGCCCTGAGTGAACCCACAAACCTAATGGCACTTGAGAACCTACAGTTCTAAGTAACTGGATATTCATCTATATAAGAGTTACATACCTTTTGACTAGTTTGAGATTTGGAATCTTCAGAAGAAACTGCATTCTTTGCACGTAGAAGATTGATATCATCAAAATCAGTACATTTTGGCAGAACTGCAAATCTCTTCTGAAGAGACTCTGTCTGGACTCTATTTTGAGGAAGGGCAGAATCGCAGCAGAATTCTTTCAATTTTTCCAGAGACTTTAAAACGATCCTGGTCCTCAGATGTTTCTTTGGCTCTTAGCAAGTCAGAAGAAAATATAATAGTATTTTATTTCATTATGTCAATTCATAATTAGCATAGGATTTTTAAAGAGGGAGCTTCTCACTAAAGCAATGAATCTAACTATAATGTGATAAGGAAATAAAGAAACCTCGGGTTCAGGGTGAAGATGACATATTGAAACATAGATCTAATTTCACTTGGTCCTGAAACCCCATTAAAAACTACAACAGGGCAGACAGAAAAGAAGAGGTGACAACTGCAAACAAAATATCTGAAGCTAGAAGGATAAATGGATAGGCAATAACCAATTTAGCATACCTGAAAGCTAAATCCTAAATCAGTAATATATAAAACCAGGAACCAATCCTACTTACAACACAAAATGCTTATTAAATGGCTCAAGAATCAGGGCACCAGTAGCTCTGGAAATGGAAAAAAGGGAGGTTCTAAAATAAACAGAACTGGTTCAAAACAATTTAATCCCTAGACCCCTACCCCACTCCAAACTCAAGGGTAACTGTCCTCCTTCTACCTCAGAAGACTGAAGATTTCTCTGGAAAAGGCAAAACAGGCACAGGTGAGACACAGTACTGTGCCTGAGCCATAAGAATGATGTGAATACAGGCTTACTGTATGCAGAGAAACCAGCCTCTTCTCACCAGCTCTCAGAACACAGGCAGCCAGCGTTCTCTCTCCAGGCAGGAGCTCACAAGACTCTGGACTGGGGAAACTGACCAGCTCCATGGGAAAGACCTAAAGATACTGACACCAGGAATTCACCAAGGAAACCACCCCCAGGACATGTGCCTTCTTGCCTCCACAGCTTTGCTCATGCTATTCTTTCTCCCCAGAATGCCCTTGACCCCAATTTCCACGTGGCAAATTGTACTCACTTCGTCAAGACCCATCTCAAAACTACTTTTTCATGAAATTCTGCTAATTCTCCCAGTTTAAAGTCATCTTTTCTTTCTCTATGTTCCTATAACAAGATCGCATCTCTCTATAGCACTTATCACACGCTGCCGATTAGCAGTTATTAATAAGCAAGCAACCCATAAAATAAGGGAAACTATCATGTATTGGGTATCTACTATATGCCAGAATACATCTTTTCACCCTTTAGAACAATACTATTAGGTAATTACTATTTAATATAAAGAAACTGGGACTGCATTTGCTATCTCTTACTTTCCCATTAAAGCAAAAACACTCTGAGGGCAAGAGTTGGGTTTTGTTCATTTCTAAAAGTTTAAATATTTTCATATTAATATTCAAACCTCTTTTTAGATCTATACTTTATCCTGTCTCCTGTTAACCTTGTAGCTAGAAAAATGTATATTTGAAACCTCTTTTCAAATGTATATATTCATCTTATTTACTGTTATTCTCCCCTTTCCAGGATGTATACTTGAATCACTCTTCAAACATATACTGTAAGTTTTTATATTATATAAGGACTTCCCCCTACCCATACAAAAAAACTTTCCCGGGATGGGGGTGGGGTATAGGTCTTAGAATTGCACTCATGTGAAAAAAAGAATATCTAAAACTGAAGTGTTAAAAACTAAGGTGAAGTAGCCAGGGACTCTTCTAGCTAGTGAATGCTCTGCTCTTTTCTTCCCATTATTTATTAAGTAAACAGTAAAGTTCATATTTCAAAAAATTCCATGTCTATGGCCTTATTTCCACAAACTTCAGGGTTTGCTCAGCTGGATGTGCAGCAAGGACTTAGCGGGCATGTGGTAAGAGCCCTTGATGGCTCACTTTCTTGCCCTCCTCCTTACCACCCTTCCCCACCCTACCCTACTCTCACCACTGCCAAGGAAGATTCCACCTTGAAGCTCCATCCTTGAGTTACGCTCAACACAGAAAGGTTTTTGTCGATTCAGAAAGATCCTGGATTGAGCCCATGCTTCTGTACAACCTCTCTGCTACCCTTCCACATCTCTTAAAGTTTTTTCTCTCCTTTTTCTGTGTAGCCATCTTTCATCCTTAGGCTACAATGACTTTCTACGAGTACACCACAGCTCAAGAGTTAGGAAAGAAGGTGTCCCACACTTGTTCATTTATATCAAGCCATTATGATTCCTGAACTATAAAATAAGAGAAAGAACTGGTACACAAGCAATTACCCAAAATTACAATTTTTTCTTAATGCTCCTAGGACCATCAAATCTTGAGCCATCTAAAAGAAAACCGGGGGAAATATGAACATGTTATCTGCGGGAAGAATGAAGCTTACACAGGAAAACCAAAATCTTCCATTGCCTTCCTCACAGATACCTAAGAGAGATTCTAACACCTCATAAGGCCCTCAATGAAAAAAACTAAACTGGAAGGCTTCTCAAGTGCAAAGCCCCCAAGAGCTACGAAACCCTCATGTCTGAGAAGGGACACAGATATAGGCACCAGTCCCTCAAATAGGCCTTGAGGAAGACTGTAACTACTGTGAAAAACCTGGCTCATGGAAAACTGAGTACTATGAAAATTAAAAGGGAAACCTCCTAAAATGGAGTTGGGAGGCCAGCAGGGAGAGCTCTCCTGGACATACTACCCAGCATCAATACAGATCCCAACAGGAAAAGACTTACCTTGCATTCTCCTATAGAAGTGACACTAGCTTACTACCACCAGCAGGAGGAAGATTTTCTCCTTGCCTGGCAACAGTACAACCAATGAGAGACTGTCACCACTCAGCCAAAGAAAAGCCACTATACTTTGAACTCCCAGTTTCCTCCAATGACCCTCACAAATTCCTCTTCTCCTCTATAAAAGAGTTTCCTCTCCTTTGCCTTGCTGAACTTGCATGTGGTTTGCCATAGTTGCATGTCCTAAATTGCAGTTCTTACCTGCTCCCAGATAAATCCATTTTGCTGGTAAAATAATTGGCTGTTCTCCTGTTTTAGTTTAACAGTACCCAAATAAACCTTAACAACCTCCATATTCTGCTCCTATACTTAAAACCTCACTTCTACTATTTCTTTTTCTGAAGATGCCATGAAATGAACTATCAAATTGCCACAATATGAGATTAAGGCTTGCCAGCATTATCACTAGTCTCTGAGCCCTTAAGAGGACATACCCTAGAAATAAGGCCATCGGTTGCTGTCCCAACATGTTAAATAGACCGAAAACTTCTCAGGAAAAATCTTTCACTGAATTAACACCTTCACTATTTGAGCTTTAATTTTTTGTGTACCATAAAATGTAAATACATAGGGGCTTCCCTGGTGGCGCAGTGGTTGAGAGTCTGCCTGCCGATGCAGGGGACGTGGGTTCGTGCCCTGGTCCGGGAGGATCCCACGTGCCGCGGAGCGGCTGGGCCCGTGAGCCATGGCTGCTGAGCCTGTGCTCCGCAACGGGAGAGGTCACAACAGTGAGAAGCCCACGTACCACAAAAAAAAAAAAAAA